TTTATACTGGCTCTCCAGGGAAGGGGCACCATTCTCCGAGGGCAGTGGAGGAAGGAGCTTCTCTGGAGGTCACCCCTGGCAGAGGCCATCTGCCGGGGTCGAGAATCTCCTTCCTGGAGTTCTCCTGGGTCTCCCTGGCATTGTCCACAATCTGCAGGGTATGGGCCTTCCCTGCCGTTTGGCACATGCTGTCTGCAGTTTTGAAGTGACAGGATGGCCTGTTCTCTCGCTGCTTCTGGCCTGAATTACAGTCTGTCCCACAGTGTCGTGCGTGTGTGCCGTCACCTTTGCAGCTGGAGCGGCCTTACCATCTTTTCTGCCCTCCAAGCAATCTTCTGCCTTAGGGGGTCTCCACTCTGGCCCTATTATTTCTTTATTAAAAATAAAATTAAACTTTGTATTTATTTATTTTTTTTTTGAGACAGAGTCTCTCTCTTTTGCCAGGCGCCAGGCTGGAGTTCAGTGGCGCGATCTCGGCTTATGGCAACCTCCGCCTCCTGGCTTCAAGCAGGAGGCTCCTGCCTCAGCCTCCCGAGTAGCTGGGACTACAGGCTCGAGTCACCATGCCCAGCTAATTTTTGTATTTTAGCAGAGACAGGGTTTCACTGTGTTGGCCAGGATGGTCTCGATCTCTTGACCTCATGATCTGCCCACCTCAGCCTCCCAAAGTGCTGGGATTACAGGCGTGAGCCACTGCTTCTGGACTAAAATTTTTATTTTTTATAGAGATAGGTTCTTGCCAAGTTGTTCAGGCTGGTTTCAAACTCCTGGGCTCAAGCAATCAGCATGCCTCGGCCTCCCAGAGGGCTGGGATTATAGGTATGAGCCACCTCGACCAGCCCTGCCCCACTCCTTCTATCACGAGGAGGACTGTGGGGATCACCTTGCTGTGGGCTAGCAGGCTTGGGGACTAGGGCCCCAGCACACGCCCATTCTCTCTCCTCTCTGGGCTTTACTCTCTCCATCGTTAAGTAAAAGGCAGCGCTATCCCATAAAACTCTCGGCAGTGGGGGAAGTGCCCTGTGTCCATGCTAATATAGTAGCCAGTAGCCACCTGTGGTTGTTGAGCTCTTGAAATGTGGCTAGTGCAGTTAATGAGCTAAAATTTTAATGTAACAGAATTTTAATTGATTGAAATTTAAATAGCCACTTGTGGCGTTGGATGGCATGACTCTAGGTCTCTTCTAGCTCCGAAGGTGGCTATGGCAATTGGCTGAATCGTGCAGAATTCCCCAAAGCTCCAAAGACCCTCCTTTGGGTAGCAGCAGAGCAGAGCTCTCAGCCTCTGTGGAAAGCTTGGCTGAACCTGACTCGCGTGGGAGGAGAAGGAAGGGCCACCTGGCTTGGTACAGGCTCCAGCGGTGGAGGAGAGACTAAGGGCTGGGACCCAAATGCAGAGAACAGGAAACCCTGGCTACACAGTATCCCACGCCCCTACTTCCATATCCCCTTCAGGACCTCCACGCCCCTCCTCGCAACTCAGTGGCCCAGGTCAGATGAGAGGGGAGTCCCTCCAGGCTGTGCTGGGACGGCAGGGCCAGAGCCAGAGCACGCAGGGTGGTTGGCAGCCCCACCCGGCCGGGAAGCTATCGAGTGCTCTGCCATGGCCAACCTGCAGCCTCTCGTCCTACGCCTCCAGTCCTCGCTGGGTATGGATTGGTCGCTACCCTGGATGGGTTCTCCCCTCCTCAGGAGCCACCTGGGTTGAGGCAAGTCTCTCCTGGCCTCAAAAGGGACTCCTGCCTGAGGCCCTGGCAGGGAAGCCACCTGCCTGTCTGCAGAGGAGTCCTGCTTCCTCTGGCACCTGGGGGTCTGGCCCAGGAGACACTTTGTCCTTGGGGTTTTAGGCACGACCCTCTGCAGGTCTGGAGCTGTTGCAGCCAGCTGCAGTGACTCACTGGGGAGGGAGGGCTGGAGGGAGGGTGGGGCCGAGGTGTGGGCGAGGGTGAGCTGGCTCAGCTACCTCTCCCCCATCGATGGCTGCTGGCACAGCACCAGGATGCCTGGTGAGCAAAGGGGCCCTGCTCCAGGAGGAGGACAGGGGTGTCCGGGCCGTCTGAAGGGGTAGCTTCAGTTCTGTCTGAGAGATGAAGTCTGGAATCCTTTTTCCTTCCCTGCCTCTGCCTGGCTCCTTATCTGCAAGGCTGGACATCGGGAGACAAGGTGCCATTGAAGCCCCAGCTTTGCTGTTTCACCCTGGGAAGGGTCAGAGTGATTTCCCATCGCAGCCTCCTCTGCGACCAGAGGGGAGATGATGTTTTCCGCAGCCTGCACCTGAGCCCACAGGCTCAGCGTCTTTGCTAACCTCATAGCCAGCACCTGTGTTGACAAGGAGGCCCATTGGGAGGATGGCTGTCAGAGCCTGGGGTCTGCGTTTCTCTTTCAGCCATGTTGTGATCTGTCTGAGTTGGGAACTGCTAAGTGCCCACACATTCCCAGGAGACACAGTCCCATCCTCAGAGGTCACCTCTAGCACCTTCAAGACCCCATGTATATTTCATTTTCCCTAGAAGGCTCCCAAGCCTTCTGGAATATTCTGCGGCTAAATCAGTCACAGCCAGTACACCTTGCTCATCATGTGTATCTGGGACAGGAACTGAGTCTGTTTTTTTTTTTGAGATGGAGTCTCTCTCTGTTGCCCAAGCTAGAGTGCAGTGGTAAGATCTCAGCTCACTGCAACCTCAGCCTCCCAGGTTCAAGCCATTCCCTTACCTTAGCCTCCGGAGTAGCTGGGACTACAGGTGTGTGCCACCATACCTGGCTAGTTTTTTGTATTTTTAGTAGAGATGGGGTTTCACTGTGTTAGCCAAGATGGTCTCGATCTCCTGACCTTGTGATCCATCTGCCTTGGTCTCCCAAAGTGCTGGGATTACAGTCATGAGCCACTGCGCCTGGCCGGAACTGAGTCTTAAATCTCCCGGTGTGGCATGTATGTGCGGGAGTGACGTGAAGTCACTGTCTGATGCCAGCATGTAATTAGATGCCGGGCCTAGCTGTGTCCATCCCTGGCCGGTTCCCTCTGCAGTGCAAAGTATAGTGTTGGGCATATGGAGGCAGCTGGTATGCAGGCATTGACTGACTGCTGATAGTTTCTGGATGTAAACAGCCAAAGGAGGGGATTTGGGTTAGGTTCCCCATGACCGATAGTATCCTCCACACCATTTCAAGTGGTGGCCGCAGTCGCCATTTTTGTGGGTGGCTGTAGTCTGTGGCCCTGTGCAGAGTCCTGCCTGGTGCCTTTCCAGGGTGCCTGCAGCTGACAGCTCATCCTGTGACTGGAGGGCGAATTCGTTCCTAAATGCTTGCGCCTATAGGGGCCTGGCTCAGGGCGTGGTGTGGGCAGCCAGTGGGCCCTGACTCACCATGGCCCCAGGCGGGTTCAGCTAGGCTCTAGCCTCTAGGGCTTGGGTGGTGCCTGGTGGGGCTGGGGCCTCCTTTGTTCAGGCAGCTGCTGGTGGCAGGGCTCCCAGAGCTCCCAGCTGCTGGGTGAGACTGGGTGGCCCGAGTCTGTTGCTGAGGGAAGTGGGACACTGCCATTCCTGCTGGAGGCAGCCTCTGAGGAGTCTCCTGCCTGTTATAACCTGGTGTGGGGAGGCAAAGGAGTTACAGACTCGGATCCAAGCCCAGCAGAGTTGGGCTGTCATGTGTACCCCGGGTAAGTTGTGCTCTCAGAGACTCAGTCTCTGTCTGTGAAATGGGCACAGTAATGTCACCATCTTGCAGCTGTGGTTGAGAATGTAGCGAGAGGCCGGGTGCGGGGCTCCTGCTCAGAGTCCCAGCACTTGAGGATCGTTTGAGCCCAGGAGTTCTGGACCAGCCTGGCCAACATGGCAGAACCCTGTCTCTCCAAAAATACAAACAGCCAGTTGTGGTGGCACGTGCCCGTGGTCCGAGCTACTCGGGAGGCTGAGGTGGGAGGACCACTTGAGCCCAGGAGGTTGAGGCTGTGTTGAGTCATGATCATGCCACTGCGCTCCAGCCTGTATGACAGAGACAGATCCTGTCTCAAAAAAATAAAAAGCGTGTGGTGAGAGTGTGCATGTGAGGCTGCTCCTGCCGGCCAGTGCTCTCTTCTTTCTCCTTTATTCTCTCCATTTTCTTTTCTTTTTTTTTTTTTGAGATGGAGTTTCGCTCTTGTTACCCAGGCTGGAGTGCAATGGCGCGATCTCGGCTCACCGCAACCTCCGTCTCCTGGGTTCAAGCAATTCTCCTGCCTCAGCCTCCCGAGTAGCTGGGACTACAGGCGTGCGCCACCATGCCCAGCTAATTTTTGTATTTTTAGTAGAGACGGGGTTTCACCATGTTGACCAGGATGGTCTCGATCCCTTGACCTCGTGATCCACCCACCTCGGCCTCCCAAAGTGCTGGGATTACAAGCGTGAGCCACCGCACCAGCCTCTTTTTTTTTTTTTGAGATGAAGTTTTGCTCTTTCACCCAGGCTGCAGTGCAGTGTTGCGATCTTGGCTCACTGCAACCTCCACCGTCCAGTTTCAAGCGATTCTCCTACCTCAGCCTCTTGAGTAGCTGGGATTACAGGTGCTCGCCACCACGCCTGGCTGATTTTTATTTGTTTATTTATTTATTTATTTAATAGAGACGGGGTTTCATCATATTGGTCAGGCTGTACTTGAACTCCTGACTTCAGGGGATCCACCTGCCTCAGCCTCCCAAAGTGCTGGGATTACAGGCGTGAGTCGCCGCGCCTGGCCTGTTGTCTCCATTTTCACAGATGAGGAAATGGAGGTTCAGAAAACCGAAAGTCCCACAGGTAGGAGGAAGCAGAGCCAGGATCTGACTCCGAGTCTGGTTCCTCTGAAGCCCCTTTCTGCTAAGCCAGGCTGGAGAGTCGTGGACAAGTGGAATTGACGGCAGTGGGGTCAGGTTGACGGTGGTTGTAGGCTGGCCTGAGTAGCAGAGTGCCTGGCTGTCCCTTGAGTGGGGACTTGGAGTGTACCAACTGCCATCCGGAGTGCGAGCATCATCATGAACTTTTCCCTAGGTTGTGAAGATTCCCGACGAGAGAGACTAAGGGGAAGAGAGGAAAGCGGGGTGGGCTCCTGGCAAGGCATTCGATCCTGAGTGGAATCCTGCAAAGGTCAGTAGCCGGGAGGGGCAGAGAGAGGTGGAGGTGATGGGATGTGGGGAGGGTGGGCCCCGGGTGGATGGGAGGCTGGGGCCGTTGGGGGTAGGGAGATGGGCTGGCTACCTCTGTGGCCAGTTGCCTCTGCTGTCTCCTTTCCATCTTCTCTGCTGTGTCTTGGGAGAACTTCCACAGTGGAAGGACGTGAGATGAATTGCCCCACCCCCAACACCTCACCTGGCAGGTGAGCCAGCTGCAGGGGCAGGTGCATTGCAGACGGCCCCACTCCCTGGAGTTCACAGCACCAGAGATCGCTGGCTTTCCCATGCCCTCATGTCCTCGCACCCCCACTGACCCCAGCTCCACTTCCTCACCTCGTTCCAGATGGAGAAGGAGGAGGAGACAACCCGGGAGCTGCTGCTGCCCAACTGGCAGGGTAGCGGCTCCCACGGGCTGACCATCGCCCAGAGGGACGACGGCGTCTTTGTGCAGGAGGTGATGCAGAACTCCCCTGCGGCCCGCACTGGGGTAGTCAAGGAGGGTGAGTCATCCCAGGGTGCGGACCAGGTGCTAAAGGTTGGGGTTGGGTGGGGTTGTTGGAGGGAAGGGCAGGGAGCGGGCAGAAATGGACAAGTGACTGCCAAGGGCCGGTTCCCAGTGGCATCAGGGTGGTTGGTACCCAAGCCCTGCCCTCCCTTGGTCACTCTGTGTCTGTCACTTGTGGTCCTCAGGGGAGGCAGTCGTGTGGGGGTAGTAGAGACCTCACACCTGGCTCCCACCCACTAGCTCTGCAGATTTGGGTGCCCAGGCTGGAGTGCAGTGGCTCCATCTCGGCTCACGGCAACCTCTGCCTCCTGGGTTCAAGCGATTCTCCTGCCTCAGCCTGCTGAGTAGCTGGGATTACAGGTGTACACTACCACACCTGGCTAATTTTTGTATTTTTAGGAGAGATGGGGTTTCTCCATGTTGGTCAGGCTGGTCTCGAACTCCTGACTTCAGGTTATTCACCCACCTTGGTCTCCCAAAGTGCTGGGACTACAGGCATGAGTCATTGCGCCTGGCCAACGAGTTGGCCTTTCTAAGCCTTAGTTTCCATGCCTGTACAATGGGTATTGCCATGCCCACCTTGCAGGGTGGTCATGAGGTGAAGTCAGTCTGGTGCGCAGTGTGTGGTGGCTGTGTGCTGTTTCCCTGAAGCTCTGTGGGCCTCACCTGCTTCCTGCTCTTCCCTGCTTAGGGGACCAGATTGTGGGTGCCACCATCTACTTTGACAACCTGCAGTCGGATGAGGTGACCCAGCTGCTGAACACCATGGGGCACCACACAGTGGGCCTGAAGCTGCACCGCAAGGGTGACCGGTCCCCTGAGCCAGGCCAGACTTGGACCCATGAAGTCTTCAGCTCCCGCAGCTCTGAAGTGGTTCTGGTGAGTACCTTGCAGGCCCGTCTGTGCCCTGAGCTCCCCCGGCCACGCTGGCCTCCAGACCCCACTCCTGAGCCTTCCGTGAGCCTCTGAGCCTCTTTTTTTGCTCTTTCTCCTCCTCTCACCTGTCTTCACTCTCTTGAGATCTTGGCCACCCTGTTTCTGTCTGTTCTCATGTGACATGTGGCTGTGCTGCCCCTCAGTGTCTTCCATCAGTCTCCTCAGAGTGGCCACAGTGTGGGAATGACTTTGCAGCCTGGTCCTAGATCCTAGGAAGAAGGTCAGCTGCTTTGCAAGAATCTTTGAAATGACTTCACAGGTGCCCAGCTCCACCTCACAGACACCATTTTCCTCTCTGCAGAGGCCTGATACCTTCTGTGAGTCACACGCTGGGCAGCAAAGTGCCTGTGGGGACATTGTTCCTTCTGATGCCTTGTTTATTTAACAAATAATGGGTCCTCAAAGTGAGACTGTTAACCCAAGCACAATGAGTCTCTTAGGCTTATCAAGTGCTTTCCAGTGTACAAGAGCCCTTGAGAAGATTCCCCTTCTGATTAAACTCACAAGCCAGTGGGTTGAGAGTTGGGAGGTGAAGGGCCTGCTGTCTTGGGAGATGTCCCTGCACAGGCTGATTTGAATCACTAACTGATTGGAAAGCAGCCCAGTTCAAGCGTATACCTCCCATTCTCTCCCTGTGGTTTTTGCTTACTGGTATGACGTCCAGAGAATTTCTGATTTCCTCCTGTGATGTGGCTGTCAGCCCCTTTCTTCACTCCCTTGTGCTGTGCCCCAGGAGACTGCATGGACCTCTGTTCTGGTCCTAGCTTCTCTGGGAAACAGGCAACGTGGTGTTGGCTGGGCTGTGGCCGGGCATCTGCTAACTCAGGCAGACTCTGTTGCAACCTCTGCCGGGCGTGTCTTTCTGCAGAGCGGGGATGATGAGGAGTACCAGCGCATCTACACCACGAAGATCAAGCCACGGCTGAAGTCAGAAGATGGAGTGGAAGGAGACCTTGGGGAGACCCAGAGCCGCACCATCACAGTGACCAGAAGAGTCACGGCCTACACTGTGGATGTGACCGGCCGGGAAGGAGCCAAGGACATAGACATCAGTAGCCCTGAATTCAAGATCAAGATTCCAAGGCATGAACTGACTGAAATCTCCAATGTGGATGTGGAGACCCAGTCCGGGAAGACTGTGATCAGACTGCCCTCGGGCTCCGGGGCGGCCTCTGCAACCACAGGCTCTGCTGTGGATATCCGAGCAGGGGCCATTTCTGCTTCAGGACCAGAGCTCCAAGGTGCTGGCCACTCGAAGCTCCAGGTCACCATGCCTGGTATAAAGGTGGGAGGCTCGGGTGTCAATGTCAGTGCCAAGGGCTTGGACTTGGGTGGCGGAGGAGGGGTCCAGGTTCCAGCAGTGGACATTTCATCTTCTCTTGGGGGTGGGGCCGTAGAGGTGCAGGGCCCGTCGCTGGAGAGTGGTGATCATGGGAAAATTAAAATTCCCACCATGAAGATACCGAAATTTGGTGTCTCGACAGGGCCTGAGGGCCAGACACCAGAGGCAGGGCTGAGGGTTTCTGCACCTGAAGTCTCTGTGGGGGACAAGGGTGGCAAGCCAGGCTTGACTGTCCAAGCCCCTCAGCTGGAAGTCAGTGCACCCTCTGCCAATATTGAAGGGCTTGAGGGGAAGCTGAAGGGCCCCCAAATCACTGGGCCATCACTTGAGGGTGACCTGGGCCTCAAAGGTGCCAAGCCACAGGGGAGCATTGGGGTGCACGCCTCTGTTCCCCAAATTGGGGGTAGCATCACTGGCCCCAATGTGGAAGTTCAGGTCCCTGACGTTGATATTCATGGGACTGGGAGCAAACTGAATCTGCCCAAGATGAAAGTCCCCAAGTTCTCTGTATCAGGTACAAAGGGAGAGGAAATTGGGATTGATGTGACCCTGCCTACAGGTGAAGTGGCTGTTCCTGGGGTCTCTGGGGATATCAGCCTGCCTGAGATTGCTACTGGTGGGCTGGAAGGAAAGGTGAAAGGTGTGAAAGTCAAGACTCCTGAAATGATTGTTCAGAAACCTAAAATCTCCATGCAGGATGTGGATCTGAGCCTTGGGTCTTCTAAACTGAAAGGAGATATTAAGGTTTCCGCTCCTGGGGTGCACGGTGATGTGAAAGGCCCTCAAGTAGCAGTTAAAGGCTCCAGAGTGGACATTGAGACACCAAACCTAGCGGGAACCTTGACTGGCCCCAGGCTTGGCAGTCATTCCGGGAAAACTGGAACCTGTAGTATCTCTATGGCAGAAGTAGACTTAAATGTGGCTGCACCTAAAGTGAAAGGGGGTGTAGACATCACACTCCCCAAAGTAGAAGGGAAAGTCCAAGTCCCTGAAGGTGATGTTAAAGGCCCCAAAGTGGACGTCAGTGCCCCAGATGTGGAAGTACATGGCCCAGAATGGAACCTGAAAATGCCCAAGATGAAAATGCCCACATTTGGCACTCTAGGAGCCAAAGGGGAAGGTCCAGATGTGCACGTGACTCTACCCAAAGGGGATGTCAGTATTTCAGGGCCCAAGGTCAATGTGGAAGCCCCAGATGTCAACATGGAGGGTCTGGGGGGAAAACTGAAAGGCCCTGATGTTAAGCTGCCTGATGTGAGTGTGAAGACACCAAAGATCTCCATGCCTGATGTAGATTTGCACGTGAAAGGTCCAAAGGTGAAGGGAGAGTATGATGTAACCGTACCAAAGCTTGAAGGAGAACTCAAAGGCCCGAAAGTGGACATTGATGCCCCGGATATGGACGTCCATGGCCCAGACTGGCACTTGAAGATGCCCAAGATGAAAATGCCCAAATTCAGTGTGCCAGGGTTCAAAGCAGAGGGCCCAGAAGTGGATGCGAACCTGCCCAAGGCTGATGTGGACATTTCCAGGCCCAAGGTAGATGTTAGTGTTCCTGACGTGAGCATTGAGGGACCAGAAGGGAAATTGAAAGGGCCCAAGTTTAAGATGCCTGAGATGAACATCAGAGTCCCTAAGATCTCCATGCCTGATGTGGACTTACATTTGAAAGGCCCTAATGTAAAAGGCGAATATGATGTCACAGTGCCGAAGGTTGAAGGTGACATTAAAGTTCCTGATGTTGAACTTAAAAGTGCCAAAGTGGACATTGATGCCCCAGATGTGGAAGTTCAGGGCCCAGACTGGCACCTGAAGATGCCCAAGGTGAAAATGCCCAAATTCAGCATGCCTGGCTTCAAAGGAGAGGGCCCAGAAGTGGACGTGAACCTGCCCAAGGCTGATGTTGACATCTCAGGACCCAAGGTGAATGTTGAAGTTCCAGATATGAATATTGAAGGACCTGAAGGAAAGCTGAAGGACCCCAAGTTCAAGATGCCAGAGATGAATATCAAGGCCCCCAAGATCTCCATGCCTGATGTGGACTTGCATGTGAAAGGGCCCAAGGTAAAGGGAGAATATGATGTTACAGTGCCAAAGCTGGAAGGGGACCTGAGAGGCCCCAAAGTAGATGTCAGTGCCCCAGATGTTGAAATGCAGGGTCCTGACTGGAACTTGAAGATGCCAAAGATTAAAATGCCCAAATTTAGCATGCCCAGTCTCAAAGGAGAGGGGCCAGAATTGGATGTGAACCTGTCCAAAGCAAATGTGGACATTTCTGCACCAAAAGTAGATATTAGTGCTCCAGATCTGAGTCTGGAAGGACCTGAAGGGAAGTTTAAAGGTCCCAAGTTTAAGATGCCCGAGATGCACTTCAAAGCTCCTAAGATGTCTCTGCCAGATGTTGACCTGGATCTTAAAGGACCCAAAATGAAAGGAAATATAGATATCTCTGCACCAAAGATAGAGGGTGAGATGCAGATTCCAGATGTGGACATCAAAGGTCCCAAGTTAGATATTAAAGCACCAGATGTGGAAGGCCAAGGCCCAGACTGGAGCCTCAAAATACCCAAGATGAAAATGCCCAAGTTCAGCATGCCCAGCCTCAAGGGTGAGGGCCCAGAAGTGGATGTGAACTTGCCCAAGGCTGACATTGTTGTCTCAGGACCCAAGGTGGCTGTGGAAGCCCCAGATGTGAGCCTCGAAGGTCCAGAAGGGAAGCTGAAGGGCCCCAAGTTTAAGATGCCTGAGATGCACTTCAAGGCCCCCAAGATCTCCAT